TCTTCAAAAAGCCGCCGCGGGCGTTTTCGATCCGCCGCCACAGTCGCCCGCGAAGGGGTGTCCTGCGTGCAACAAATGTTTGAGCACATCGTGACCCTTCTGGATATGATTTGGTTCGGTCCCAAAACATAGATAGTTACTCGGTCCCAAATGTTCTTCTTCGGTCTCCATGTGTTTGCTCTGTCCCACAAATGTGTTGTTCTTTCCCCGTGAACTCTGGCCCCACCCACTCGCCCACCCCCAACATGGCTTGACTGCCGCCAAAATCGGGCAAGATAGGTCAAGATGCCTCCGAAACGGGCCGAGAGGCTTCCAAATCTGCCCAGAGCGGCTACACTACCGCCCAATATGGCCACGAGACTGCCCTTGATGGCCACCAGACGGCCCAAGACGCCACACGAGGCTGCAGAATGCCTCCCAGAACGTCAACACCATGGTTGTCATGATCTCGGCTTTTGGGGCTTCCAAGCATCCGAAGGGGTCAAGCGGTCGAAAACATCCAGAATGCGTTCCAGATAGGCCCCAAAGACGGCCCAGTACGGCCATCAAGAAGGCCATCAAGGCGGCCCGAACTGGCTCCAACAGACCCCAAGATGCCCCCCAAAGGCCCCTTCTCATTGTCTCCCTGGTCGTTTCCCCAAGCGCTGGGGTCGACATGCAGTCTACTATCAGTAGCATGGCCAGACATTCGTTCGGCATTGCACCACACGGGCGTTTCCAAAAGGAAAGGAGCGGCGATAGTTCGCCGCATGTGTCTTCGACACGATGCCACAATACGACAGGCGGCATCCCATGGGCACTAGAACATCAGCCTAAAGAGTGAAGACCCGTCGCCACCACAAGGGCGATTGGCGTGCCAAGATCTGCAAGCGTCGGAAATCTTACAAACCAAAGTTGCCCCAAAGACGGTTCAGGATGGTCAAACTGACCTGCAGGACAGCCCAAGATGCCCCCCAAAGACTGCCGAGATGGCCCCCACGACGGCCAACGAGGCGCCCGAGCAGCCCCAAGAATCCTCCAGGAGGCCCCCCAAGAGGCCGCCTGGAGAGCCAACACATGAGCGAATCTGAGATCGGGCACGCCATTGGCATCGCTATGTCCGTCTGCACTCTGGAGCGCCTGCTCGCGAGGTAACGTAACGCTGGTGCTCCGGCTTGGTCTCCCACAAGATCAAAGACCTGCACGAGGACAAGCATTTCGACCCTGCTCGGCGCCGCGAGGCAAGCATGAACGATTCCCAGCACGCTGTTCCCTTGTGTCGGCGTCCCCACACCCGAGGGACAACCTCGGACGGCCCACGACGGCCTCCGAGATGGCCCCAAGACGGCCAGGACGGCCCTCAAGAGGGCGCGAAGACGACCCAGGATGGCCTCCGAGACAGCCGAGATGGCCTCCAAATCGGCCACGATGGCCCTGCACGGCCCACAAGAACGCCCACATGCCCTCGGGGACGGCAAGATGGCCCCATGGTGCCCCAACGCGGCCTACGATGATCCCCTGGGGCCACCAAGAGGTCCTCCAAGAGGGTGCAGGAGACCTCCAACGAAACCAGCTCCTCGTCCGCCTCCCGCCCCTTCTCCCCCCTCTCCTCCTCCTCCTCCTCCTCCCTCCTCCCTCCTCCCTCCTCCCTCCTCCCTCCTCCCTCCTCCCTCCTCCCTCCTCCCTCCCCTCCCTTCCTCCTCCTCCTCCTCTCCTCCTCCTCCTCCTCCTCTCCTCCTCCTCCTCCTCCTCCAAGGGTTCTGACAACGGCGGGGGGGGGGGGCAGATGGTCCAACAGCGCGGCATAGCTATGGCACACACTTTGGCCACATCGGTCACACCGCCCTTCGCCAGCAGTGGCCCAAGGTTCCCGCTTCGGCTTACTTCTCACCAGAGCTGGCAAGCTGCGGCGGCGCAGCGCCACTGCGCGCCGTGGCGACGCACGCGACCTTGGCGCTGTTCGGAGGGGTGATCTGAAACGCACTGGGCGACGGGGTACCCCAAACAGTGGCCGACATAGTGCGCCACCCACACACCATGAGCTCGACCACAGAAGACCTCCCACGCGAAGCCCAACCCTGAGACCCCACGACGTCCGTCGGCTTTTTGGCGTGGGAACGCCGCGCATCCCGTAGCGAAGCCATCGACGCCCGGGAAAAACCCAGGGCACCCTGGAGACAAGCAAGGTGCTTCTTGGCATGGGGCTTCCCCCGCGGCTTGGCATGGGCTCCCGCCGTGGTGCTCCCCCGAGCGACGCGCGGCCGACTCGCGTCGGCCCTTGGTAGGGAAATGAACTCTATACACCTACGCTTTTCCCGACCCTACGAGGAAACTCGCACAGGAACGCGGATTCCGGTTTGTACGGGATTCTGGTGAATACATTTTTCGCTGTTCCCCTTGGAAAGCGGGGGAGAAGTGTACACCACACCACTCCGACGTCGTCCCCGACCCTCAGAAAGTCGTGGGATTGGAACAAGACCCGCCACTGGTAGTGTGTGTGCTCCAGTTTCCGACTCGGGTCGGCGCCCCCGCTGCGGGGTCGGCAGCTCCGTGTCGTTCTTTGGTAGGCTCGTGGGGGCACTGCGCGGCCAGGGCCGCCGGACTAGGCCAATGCAGCGTAGCCTAGGGGTAGGGCTGCCTTTTTCACCCCCTACCCTCTCCTCCTCCCCCTCCCTTCTCCTTCGTTGTCGCCACGGGGATCGCTTGCGCTGGTAAAAAGAAGTGTCATTCTTTGGTAGGCTCGTGGGGGCAGTGTTCTGGACACTGGTCGGGACGCAATTTGGGCGGGGACGCGATGGCTCAACGAACTGCCGAGGTCCCCGCGCCCACCGTGAGCAGGTCCAGCGCAGAAGAGTACCCCCTTCCTCCCGTCGCTCCTCCTCCTCCTCCTCCTCCTCCACCTCCTCCTCCTCCTCTACCTCCTCCTCCTCCTCCTCCTCCTCGATCCACTCCAGCACTGTTTAGCGCACCCTTGTAACATGATTATGTTGAAAACGTAAAAGACCATGTGCTTGCAGAGGCCTCCTGGATGGGGTCCGAGTAGATGGGATCGGAGGGTCGCGCCGCATCTAGGAGGCCCAGAGTTTGGAAACGTCGGCAACGTGGGCGCCCGCGTGAAGCGAGCTGGCATCGGCGTGCCCAGAAAACCAATGAGGCGGCGGCCACTCGCCGTAGGCGTCGTCCATGCTCTGTCACAGCATCGTGGTAGGGCGACGACATCTATACATATCCGCTGCTCCCTGGCCTGGCACATTCCCAGACCCCCTCTCGCTGTGCAAGAAACCACGACGGGAGGTTTTTCGCTGTTTTCAGCCTCCAGGGGCTCTCACCCGGCCTCGGCACGATCAAAAACCGACTCAGGATGAAAAACCAGTCTCGACCTAAGTGGGCCTTGGAAACGACAAGGCCGTTTTTTTTCTGTTCCGTGTTGCCGCCTTTTTGCCGGTTGCGACGCCGTTTTTGCTTGCCGGTTCCGTCGCCGCTCGGGTTCCCGCTCCTGGAGCCGCTTTTGTTGCCGTTTCCGGTCGCCGTTTTTTTAGCCGTTTCCAGTTTCAAGGGGCACTTTTTTGGCGGCGCGCAAAAGGGGGTAGGGGGAGGGGGGAAGGCTTCTTAGAAGCGCCCTGCTTCTTAGAAGGCCTCGGCCTTACGTCTATAGAGAAGGCCCGCGCCTTCTAAGAAGCTTCTAAGAAGCCTTCCCCCCCCCTCCCCCCCCCTGCGCGCCGCCAACTTCTTCGGAAACGGTAAAAAAACTGCCCTGCCGTTTCCGGGGCCAACTGAGGTCTCGGCACCTCGGGGGGCCGACGCCGCGACAGAGTCATGGCGTCGGGGGCCTGGGTGTTCTCAGCCCTCAGCCCAGCAAGAGCGTGCACGCCGCGCCCTCCTATTGGACGCCCGAAATGGGTACGGAAAAAAAGGGTACAATGCCCAACAACAAATGTTGTCCCAAACCAACAGCGGCCGCTGTTGGGCAGGCGGCCTTCTGTCTCGAATGGACACAGGCCGCGGCGGCGTGGACAGCGAATCCAGTTCAAAATGAACAGGAACTGCTGTTGGGCATTGTACCCAGTCTTTCCGTACCCATTTCGGGCGTCCAGACTCCTGGCCTGGCCAAGATGGCGTATATACACCGCTGCTGGGTCTAGGATGCGCCTGGCCAGGGAGCAGCGCACTTGGAGTCCCGAAACGGTGCGGTGACAGACCGTGCGGTGACCTCGAAATCCCCCAAGACCTCACCGCACGGTCTGTCACCGCACGGTCTTGGGACCCCGGAGGCCCCTGTCGCCCGAGACATCCTCGGAGAGCGACCCGAGTCCCAAAACCGTGCGGTGACCCTGAATCCTCACTGCCTCACCGCACGGTGTGGTCACCACCCCGTTTGGGGACTCCCGAAATGTAGATGTACAGCTCGCGTCGCCCGGTCGTGAGCAGCATCATCGGCATCCGAGAGCCCGACAGCGTCGGCCTGAAGGGTCGGAGCGAAGCCTTCGAGCCTCCGACCCGAAGTCTCGATCCCTGAGTCATGAGCCTTACGCCTCGATGACATGTTCTCGCACCCTACCCCTCCTGGTACTCCAAGCCGTTGCCGGCAAGCCTGAAGCCTCAAACCTTGGGCCAACAGACATCCGCGCAACCGGATCCCGAGCACCCAGAACTAATCCCACATCTCGAATACCCTCACATCCAGGCCTACCACTCCACTCCTGAACATAGACTCCTTCCTCTGTCAGTCTGACGGACTGAGACAACCCTCATGATGATGCTGGCGGTGCGCGATGAGACAAGGGGACCTGTCAACGATTCGTAGCCCCAGGAACTTTGGTCTTATTCTTTAGTGGACTGTGCGCGCGCTCTCGTTCTCCATCCCCTTCTTGTTTTTCCATTATTTTGACGCACTAGCTGCCTCTGTCTAGATCTGCCATTCCAACGTGTCATTCATCTCCTATCGACTTAGATGCTACTCGCCGTAGAGTCTCTTCCCCTTCTCAGGGCCTGGAAACACTGGAGCATTAGTACGAGGTGCTTATGGAATGTCTTCCTTCCGCCCGCGTTCGCTTCGTTCTACTGCCGTCGCGGGATGTTTCATCGCTAGCAAGGGCCACGTGCCATCGGACGGATCCGTCTCGAACCCTCGTCCCACTCCCTTTTTGGTCCAAACTGCAAGCGTCGAACGCGCAAGAGAAGTGGGCCGCGAGAAGGGGGACAGGACGGAGACTGGTGGTAAGGAGGATGAGCTAGGCGTGGAGGAGCTGGGTAGAAGGTAGAAGGATGACGAGGAGGGGGAGAGGAGGAGAAGGAGGAGGAGGAGGTGGAGAAGGAGGAGTGGGAGGTGGAGGAGGAAGAGGAGGAGGGGGAGGAGTAGGAGTAGGAGGAGAATAGTCAGGAGGAGAAACGCTCAACGTCAACAAAAATCAGAAGGGGCATGGGAGAGACGGCGCCCTTCCTTTTTCTGCTGTCCGTGCTCCGCTCCGTGCAGCAAGCCCTGCGGGCGAGCACCGCCCATCCCCCGCAGCTCTCTGGGGTGCTCCGCACCACGCCCGCAGGCCGAAACCTGGTCTCTCGCTGAGGAGCAAAATGAGCCGAGGAAGAGCGCATTTTTTGACTCGAGGCCATAATGGGCGTTATGGGGGGGCAGGTTCGGTGGCAACTCATGGGAGCCTCCCACACCATCTTGTCAGCTCTTGCGAATCGACGCTAATCGACGCTAAATCGACGCGATTTCGCATTCGCATTCGCATTCGCACTCTCATCAGGACATGGTCCTTGCCTCAATGGGCCGGAGCGTGGAGGTCGCAACCTCTCTGTGCGTACACGTACTGGGGAAAGCAGAGGCCAGACAGCACTAGCGAACTGCCCTGCTGGAGCTGGTTCTGGCGCTACTCGACGCTAAACCGGCGCTGTCTGATCGACTCCAGACGCTAATCGACGCCAGTCGACGCTAAAGACGTAAGAGGGTATACCAGGCTCCCCTGATTTGCCAACGGAGGAGGAGGAGGAGGAGGAGGAGGAGGAGGAGGAGGAGGAGGAGGGGGACGACAGGGGACATGATATAGCGCCCCCCCCCCTCAGACTGTGGTGCCGGACGCACTGCGGCGGTGCCGAGGACGCACAGAAGGGGGGGGGAGCGTTACGTCATGGGGGGGGGAGGGGGGGGGGAGGGTAGGGAGCGTAACGCGTGTGATGGCCCAGAGGGTAGAACAGGCACACTCTCGAACAAGCACATACAGAAGCAGACACCTTCGGAGATGGGCGCGGATTTCTTACATCGGCGCTGGGCCCCCCTGGCGGCGCCTCCTGCGCCGCCCCTGGCGCGCTCCGCTCGCTGAAAGGGGGGTCCAGCGCCGACCAAGAGATCAGCGCAGTCCTCGGAAAGTTCTGCTGAAGATTAGTGTTTCTTCTTCGAGGTAAGGGGAGGGAGCAGAGGCCCAGGGGGAACATCTCGACCTGGAATCGGCGATCACCGATAGATCGGCGACGAGACCCCGATTGCGAGTCCAAACGCTGCTGGGGGGGGGCTTGGCTACGGGAGGCCTCCCTCATGGGGTCCGAGTGGATGGGGTCGGAGGATCGCGCCGCATCGCCAATGCATCGCCAATGCTTACCAGCCTCGAACGTATCCCTACCCCTGAGATTGATACGCCAAAAGGCGATGACAATCTTAGGGATGCGCCCTGAAAAAATGAGGGAATCCCTAAGATTGGCATCGTGATGAGGAGGTGCCCGGCATAGGGATAGGGATCTGTTCCAGGCTGGTAAGCATCGCCAATTCATCGTCGATGCATCGGCGACGTCGGCGAAGCATCGGCGCTCTCGGCGTGGAGAGAATCGGACTCCACATCGAGCCGCTTCGCCGATGGATTGGCGATGCTTACCAGCCTCGAACGTATCCCTATTCCCAAGATTGACACGCCAAAAGGCGATGACAATCTCAGGGATTCGCCCTCACAAAGAAAGGGGAATCCCTAAGGTTCCCGTCGTGATGAGGAGGTGTCCAGCATAGGGATAGGGATATATTCCAGGCTGGTAAGATGCGGCACGATCCTCCGACCCTGTCCATTCCGACCCCATCTGGGAGGTCTGAAGCTACGTGGCCTCGGCGACGAATGGCAGCCCAAACCAAGCGCGGCACAGCCCTGTCGCCCAGCCTGCCCGGCCGCTTCTACAGTCGGGCCGTTGACCTAAGGAACCCCAAATAAGGAACGAGGCCCCTGCTTCCCATAACTTCAACTTCGATTCCCCATGGAAAACCTAAGAAAAACCCAAGGCAACCTGTAAAACAATCAAGTAACACCGAGCTCCTCCCCAACGAACAGGGTTCCTTAGTCAGCGCCCCGACTGTAGCAGCTCCCAAACACGCGTCCGCGGAGGACGAAGGAGGGGGAACTGGCCCCGCGTGGCTCCCAAACGGGGGTCCAGCCTGAGGCTGATTGACCCTCGTTAGCGTTGTGGATGCCATGACAATGGACAGTCTAACAATCCGATCATTGAATGAAACATGTGTTTAAAATGTGTAAAACATGTTCTAAACATGTTTAACACGGGTAAAACTTAGTTGAAACAACTTTTAGACATCTGGAGATGATTTGGCAGCATGCTTCCTCTCCATTAATTGTATGTCGCTCCCCTCGTAGTGAAGGACCACATCCCAGAAATGACTTCGAGCACCCTGAAAAGAGTCGAAAGAGTGTCGAAAGAGTGTCGAAACAGTGACGGACGAGTGTCTCCCAGGGCCCGACACGTGAAAACCCTCGAGCTTGGGGGTAATTTTCTGGTGCTCGACATTCTTTCTGGTGATCAAGGCTAAAGTCGGTTGGAACATCATAACATGAATCGACGTCCACAACCTCAGCGCTGACCCCCGGCATCGGGTGTGGCCAGAAGTGCCCCTGGCCCAGAAAGGAGCCCACAGGCTTCCCCAGGAGGCCCCACGGCCTCGAGCCCCCCCACGAGGCCCAGAGGACCCCAGGGCTAACTGCGGTGTCAACTCATGGGAGCCTCCCGTACCATCTTGCCGGCTCTTGCGAATCGACGCCAAATCGACGCCAAATCCACGCGAAGCGATTCTAGACCGACGCTCATCGACGCTGGCCGAAGCTGAATCGGCGCTGCCCCATCGACTCCCGGGCTCCCAGGCGCCGATCGATGCTCGTCGACGCTAAGACCGAGACTGCGAGAGTATACCAGGCGCCCACGCCTTGCTTCCGAAGGCACTTCAGCAACCCCCGACGTCCGCGCGGAACCCCGCACGCTGCCCCCCGGCCCCGCGCACCGGACCGGCCCCGCGCACGCGGCGACGCGGGGCCGGCCCGCCAAGGTCGCCCAGGCGCTGGGCGTCTAGGCTCAGGTCGGGCATGTCCTCCCATAGGCGGATTCTGGATGAGGGATGCAAAATAACAAACAACAGCACTTACAACTTGTAAGCAAAAAGTGCTAGAAGGATCGTGCCCAGACGAGTTCCCAACAATCTTCGAATACTCCTCCTGTAGAGGGGCACGCCCGACTCAAGTCTAGGCACGCGCGTCCGTCACCATCAGCTGCACGCCTGCAGGCCCGTCAGCGTCACGGTCCGTGGTCCGACACCTGACCCCTATCCCCGCTGGCGTGGCCTCAGCCCCACTGGCCGACTTGCCCACCCAGGGTTAGGATGTACGCCTGTTCCGTCGGTCTTCGCGGGGCCTATCATTCTCACCAGGACGGGTGAGCTGGTGAGGCTGAGATATCATGGCCAGGTGAGGGTGGGGGTACGTTAGAAGATGCTAAACACCGCAAACGCAGTCGTACTGCGCCTGCACGTCGCCGTCGTCTGGGCGCGGGGTGTCCGAGCACCCGCCGAGTGCCAAGGTCTTGTTCATCACCGAGGTGCCTGCGCAGACCATGTTCTCGAAGGTTTGGACAGATATGCTGTCGCCCTGGCACGTGTCCGCTGCCATGCCCTCGGCCAGGTAGAGCGTGTTGAGATGACGGTGAAATCTCAACCGGGACTCTGCAATTGTCTGAGGCCGAACGTCTCTCGTCGCGAGTGCCCAAGAGGCCGCACTCCATAAGACGGGCCAACCCAGCCAAACCTCTCCGCGATCTTTTCACATCGTGGACCCGAAGAGGTCTGGACCCCTTCCAGGGGACCAGCCTTTCATCCCATGTCGTTTACGCCACAGAGCCAGCGCACAGCAAGGGCCCTCGGAGAACGAAAACAACACCGAGAGCTCCCGCCGCCGTTGTTTTTCACGCTGCGAGTTTGCCACGGATGCGCGCCCCAGGGGAGCTCCGCGACGGCCCGAGGGCCCGACCAAGCGGCCCCGCAAGACCCTGCGATGCCCCCAATGGCCCCCAACGGAGAGCCCAAGAAGCCTCCAAGACGCCTCAAATAGGGAGCATGGAACAGGAAGAAGAGGAGGACGACGGGGAGGAGGATGAGAGGGAGGAGGAGGAGGAAGAAGAAGAGGAGGAGGATAAGGAGGAGGATGAGGATGAGCAGGAGGAGGAGGAGGAGGAGGAAAAGGAGGAGCAGGAGGAGGAGGAGGAGGGAGGAGCGAGGACACCACGGCTGAAGACAAAGAGGGGGGTTATTTCAGAACAGCGCCAATTCAGAGAGGACGCTCAACTGGAGCGGGTCTTCAGCTCCCACGCTGCGCTGCCGCGCTGCCCGCTGCCGCGCTACGCTGCAGCGCTGCTGCGCTGCTGCACTGCCGCTGCAGCGCGGCTGCGCTGCCCGCTACCGCGGCAACGGGCGGCGCTGCATCGCACCAACTTTCGCTCTGCCTCGCTGCCGCACTGCTGCGCTAGCACGATGGCGGGGTCTGCCGCGGGGCGAAAGGATACCGCACGGACAGGCTGCGGTCCCACAGCGCCGGCTGGCACTGCCCGGCCCAGAGCCGCTCCGCTGAGCCTGCGGTGGCAACTCAGGGGAGTCTCCTGCACCATCTTGTCGGCTCTTCCGAATCGACCCGACGCGAATCGACGCTAACCGACGCAAAAGCGGGAATTCTGATGGTACATGCGACTCCCATGATTTGCTCCCGAACGGGCCTCTGGTGTTCCCGCACGCCTTGCGCGATACGAACCAGAAATTGCCCGACTGTACCTCGGCTACCAGGGCGTCGTGCTGCAGGAGCTGCTCGCCGTCTTCAGGCCCGTCGGCCTCCGGCAGCTCGCTGGGTTCGGTCGAGCTCATGTTGTCGCTGGAGTTCACGGTGGAGCTCATCTGGCTCTCCTTCCACCCAAAAAGCATCTACACATCACCGCCAGTGCCTGGCTGGGGTCACCTTGGACGCCGGCATGGTGTATACGCCCTCCTGGTCTAGGCCTGGAGGGTATATACAGCTTCCAGGCTGCACGCAAGGGTGACTCTAGACAAGAATGACCTTTGGTGTGCGGCTTTCAGGGGGCAGCGGGGCCAAACCCAAGCGCAAAAGGAGCTACAATCGCATCGAATTCAGCAATCAGGGAACCCCAAACGCCCTGCACAAGAGATCACTCCGGCGAAGGGTCACTCTTTCATGTAGCCAACCCCGGCCAGGCATGGCGGTGGTAATTATGAGTTTCCCGCGAGCCTTCGAAGAGCGAGCCTGAAGCAACTGCACTCCTCAGGGACGGTCAAGACTAGACCAGCTTAGCGATCACATGTGCCAGACAAGTCCACGTCGCGAACCTGGGACCAGGGTCAGCGGAAAGAGGGAAAGGTTGGTCGGCTCCAGGTGGCTCCCAGACTGAGGTCAGCCAGATGGCCTCGGAGGGGATTGGCTCACCTCACCAAACCACCCCACCTCACCCGAAAGCAGGGAGGGCTCCCAGCTACGCGCTTCGCGCTGCGCGAAGCGCGAAGTGCGAATAACTTCGCGCTCTCGCGCCGCCTCCCAGGGGAGAAGAGGAGGAGGAGGAGGAATCGGAGCCGAACCGCGAAGCGCGAATAACTTCGCGCCCTCGAGGGCGCCCTTGGTCAAACCACCCCACCTCACCCGAAAGCAGGGAGGTGGGACTGTGGGCGGCAGTGGGTCCACCGAGACGAGCCATGTCCAGCAGGCGGGGCTCTCGGGACCATGATGCACTGATGCACTGATGCCGACTCCGCGCGCTTCCCCCGCCCGCACTGCTGACTTGACGAGCGGCCTTCGGGGAACCTTCGAGCGGGGTTAGGGTTCGGTCAGTGGCCACTGCCGCTGCGTTCGACCCGACTTCCGCAAGGCTCGCCAGCGACGGCGTCGCACTCGTCGTCGGCCGCGAGCGCCGGCTCGAGCTCCAGCTGCGAGAGCTCCCGCGCCGACGCCGCGGACAGGAAGGCCGCCACAAGGAGCAGGCGAAGCATGGCCACGAAGATGATCGCTTTTCGCAGGTCGTTGCGAACACGCTGAGAAGAATTGCACCTCAATTGCGTCTGCTCGGGCCGAGACGGTTGACCACTGTCCGGGGGCGGGCGGAGCCACGAGGCAGGAAGACATTGTACGCAGAGTCGGTGGTGGCCGAACCCCCCCGCCACGAAATCACATGGAAGAAGGGGTGCCACTCGACGCTCGAAGCGGGACGACGCTCGATGAGACGAACCCAGACATCCAGCGCTCCGATTTCTTCGGAGCCTCGGCCCCATATGAAGGGATCCAACAACTGCTGCTGTCAACGAGCAGCTTGTGCAGAGTATCTTCGGGTACCATATGGAACCTGCTTGAGAACAAGAGCATACGGTAGACGGATCTATCCATTTTCCCACCTTGTAGAGAGCGAGCGCAATGGCCGCACTCTTCATAAGCGTGTCCACCACGAACGTGCCTACATACGTAGCAACACCAAGAGCATCTATAGACGCTTCTGGCTTGAACGTGAATGGCATGTGGCATAGGCTCCAGATATTTGTTTTCTGAAATCGGCGGTGGACAAAACTCCCTTTAGTAAAACTCCCCCTAGTGTAAACGGCCTGGGGCCGAAAACGGCCAATTCCTTCATCGACGTGTCGGGGTAGGAGGTCTGCCCACCCGCGATCCAGGTACTCGTTTTCTAAAAGCATGGGCCACCTTCTCATTCTTTTTGTTTCCGTGTCCATTTCGTTCGTGCAGATAAAAGTAGAGGCCTCCTAGATGGGGTCGGAGTAGATGGGGTCGGAGGATCCCGCCGCATCGGCGATACATCGGCGATGCATCGGCGATGCATCGGCGATGCACCGGCGACGCCTCGGCGACATGGACGATGCATCCGCGACGTCGGCGTGGAGGAATTTGGTCCCACGTCGCGCCGCATCGCCGATGCATCGCCGATGCATCGCCGATGCGGCGCGATCCTCCGACCCCATCTACTCCGACCCCATCTTGGAGGCCTAGAAAAATCATGGGCCACCTTCTCATCAACGATCGTTTGTCGACGGTCAGCCCGAAGACCACGAGAAAAAAACGCAAACCTCGCCTCCCCCTCGCGGCCCTTGTGCCGCACAGCGACCATCGTCCCAGAGAACCCCCAAGAGGAGGAGGAGGAGGAGGAGGAGGACGAGGAGGAGGAGGAGGAGGAGGAAGCGGAGGAGGAGGAGGAGCAGGAGAAGGGAGGAGGAGGAGGAGGGAGGAGGAGGAGGAGAAGGGAGGAGAAGGGAGGAGGAGGAGGAGGAGGAGGAGGAGGAAAAGGAAGAGTCGAGCGCCGAGCGTCCCTCGCCCTGCTTCGAACCCGAGGGCCATCGCAGCTCGATCCGGCCTGAAACAAGTCGTGCAACGAAATATGCAGCTTTCAGGACCCCAGTCGTGATCTCAGGAGACGTTGCATTCATTTTCGCGACGCTGGATCTCGGGCCCTGAAAACAAGAGCCCCTGCTGAATCCAGAGTGGTCCTCGTGTCAGCGCCTGGACTAGATCCTGGAGTATGCAGGAGTGCCCAGCATCGAATCGATTCCTCGGATCAACGATCGAAATGCATCAGGTCGGTGGGAATCGGCAGCCGTGTCGGGAGAAACCGAATCGGCGGATATCGGCAGGATAGCAAACCTCCGTTGAGAGGTCGGAATCCAAGTCGGAAGCCCAAGCCGCATGGCAATCGGAACTGGGAACCATCGGCATCGAACATCGACATCGGATCGAATCGGCGCTGGAAGCGTCGCCCGGTGGGCCCCCGCGCCGATCCGATAACTCCGCCCCCAACGCCAAAATGTCAGTGCTTCTGCCGCTGTTCCCTCTTCTTCCCGCCTGCCCGGAACGTGACCCCATCCCTTCGGCTGGCATCCGCCCTGTCTCGCCCAGTTCAGCCCTGTCCGCCCTGTCTCATCCGTTCGCCCATCCCTTCGGCCCATCCCTTCGGCTGGCATGCCAACCGCTGGGGTTCCCCCAGCTCCTGAGGACGCACCGGCGAGGACGAGAGGGGCGAGGGCACTGCACGCACGCGCCCGAGAGCCTTCTCGAAGACGTGGGTCATCGGCACACCTGAATACATGTAACAATCGGGTCGGGCGAAAAGGGGGGATAGCAAAGAGGGAGGGGTGATAATCAGCTCGCGTAGCTGATTTTCCCGGCGCCCCTCGGCGCCGGAGGCGACTATATGTATCGAGGAATTGGCCCCTCGGCGGGGCCGAAACCAGCTGCATGCAGAAAATGTCGTGCCCCCCCCTTCCAAATCCCCCCTTTCGTCCAGCCCGAATGTATTGCTCTCCCCTGGGCTGTTCGCCCCTATCATCGCCACTGAGAATCCCTGAGATCGCCATCGCTTGCCGGAGTGTCAGCCTCAAGGTTGAATCGGGCCTGTCCCCCTACAGGCCGATTTTGGACGAACAATGAGAAATAGTCCAAAAAATGCCTTAACATACCCACAAATGGTAAAACAAAATCGTCCCATGACGATCTCTTCGCTACTTTCGAATACGCCTGCTGTGGAGGGACAGGCCCGACTCAACCTACAGGGATGGGCAGGGGCCGTCGAGGCCGAGGCGCGTGACGCTCGAAGCTCGTGGGCCGGGGCCCCGCTGCCCTGCCGGCCCCTCGAGAGAGCAGCCGCGGGGAGGGCGGGCTCCGGCAGGGTCCGGCGACGGCGCCGCACGCGGCAGGTGCGGAGGCCATGCCGCAGGGTGCCCTTGCGGTCGCCGCCTGGGGCTCTCGCTCGGAGGCAGCTGCTGGGAGGCTCTCGTCGGAACAACTAGGGAGGATTGAGCCCCACTTGGGAGCTGTTGCGCCGGAGTGGGCCTCGGACTACAAGCAGGAAAAAGTCGGACGCAACGATATTCAGCGGGATCGAGCCGGACTAAGCGGGATTAAGCCGGATGAAACCGGATTTCGGGCCGGGGCTAAAACAAAATTTGACCTCCCAGGAGTTGCATCCGAACTCTCGGGGGAGCGGAGGATGATACTGCCGAGAGTAGGCTAAAGAAACTTACCCGTCAAGAGATCTGGGCCGGTCTTCCGGGGCTCCTGAAAACAGGCCGCGGGCGAGTTCTGCCGCCAGCGCTGGAGGGGGCGAGCGTGCTTGAGAAACTGGGCCAGAGCTCCAGCAACTTTGTTGAGAAACGCCGGTCCAGCTATTCGGGAAGAGGTTTCTGAACCATCATGCGCTCGCCCGGCCCTCGTCCTCCGCCTCCTCCTCCCCCCCCTCGTCGCCATCATGATCATCATCGTCATCGCCGTGTGTTTCCAACACGGCATCTGGACATAAAAAAAGAAAACCCCCTCGGGCACGCCGCCGACCGGGCCCCCCACGCAGGGCCTTCTCAGACAGGTCTCAAGGCCTCAGGCCAGCCGCCTGCCACGTTTGCCGGGCCTTCCCCGGAAACACCGACACCTCATCCGACGAGGCGCGAGGGCTTCTGAAAAGCCCCGCCGCCTTCTGAGAATGAAATGGCCCAGGGACGCACAAATCCATGCACAAATCCCAGGATCCCTTGTATTCTACACATGGTTCGAACTTCGAGTGGAGATGTAGCCGATCAGAACGTGGACCGAACAAAGACGATTCCACGCACGGCGTTCTACGACGATCCCAATAGCGCCCAAGAGGGAGCCCGGGAGAACTCCAAATCGCAGTCCACGTGACCCCAAGGGCGCTCTGAGAGGGGCCCCGAAGGGGAGCTCAAGAGGAGCTCCAAAAACTGCTAGAAGAAACCCGAAGGGGGGCACAGGAGGGCTCGATATGGCCCCAACGCGGCCTCAAAAGAGAGCCTCGGAAAGTGTTCCTGGAAAAATGAAAAAATCCCGAAGGAGCCCCGCAACGACGGCCCGACTGCGAGCGCCCCCCCCGCCCGCGCCCCCGCGCGCTGAGCCCGGCGGCGCCGGGAAAGGACGCGGCGGAGACAGACGCGGAGGTGGGGGGGGATGAGGCGCAGGAGGAGGGGGAGGAGAAAGGAAGAGGGCTCAGGAAGAGCTTCAAGAGCGGCGCCAAGATGGCACCGGCGGGCGCGCCGAATGGGGCCCGAAGAGGCCGCTGTCGGGGCGTCGAACCGCGCTTCGGAACGCCCCCGCGGCCCCAGGAGGGCTCCGACGGGGCGCAGAGTGGCGGGCCGAATCGGCTTCCAAAAGCGCCCCAAGATGTTCCAAGCTGGTTTCGGATATAGCCTCGCGTCGGGCGCGCCCCCCGCGCGTAGGAATTTTGGACGAAACATAAAGAATGCTCAAAACATATCCCCCAAGCGCTCAAACATAATCAAACAATCGTCCCCGTGCTTTTTGTTTGGACTATTGTTGCCGGTTTTTGAGTGTTCCACCTGTAGAGGGGCAGGCCCGACTTAAAATTAGCCCGAAGATGGCCCCGAAGAAAGCCCGAGAGCGGCCTCCTCGACCTCCTCCTTCTGCCCCCTCGCTCTCCTCCTCCCCCCGGGCAGGTCCTCGAGCCGCAGCCGCCTGAGTATCGATTAACCGATCCCCATTCCCAGCGGCGTGGCCTGGGCCCCGCTGGCCGATTTACCCCCTAGATGGGGGTCTAAGTCGTTCTCTTCGGGTTTCTAAGGGTGCATCCCCAACTGGGGTGGAAATTGGTGGGGGTCTCGAAGGCGATGGAGATGGGAATGGGGATCGCGTTAACGATGCCGACCACCGGCGCCCGCCCCAGCGCCATGCCCACACGTTCTCGGCCGCGCCCCAGAACCACTGCCCATCTGGCTCGCCACCGCCGCAGCACAGCCAGAGGGCAGCGCCGGCGGCGGCCAGCACGCACGGCCACGTCGCCTCGCAGGCAGCCCAGCGCGCGAGGTCGGCGGTTGGAAAGCGAAAAAGTGCGACGATGAGCCGCAATGCCTGCGGAAATGACGGCGTTGACTGCATGCCGCTACGTGAACTACAACAGCTTGCTGACGCAAATCGGTGCCCCACTTTGGTCTGTGTGTGGCTACAGCAATTTACTGACGCAAATCGGTGCCCCAATTTGGTCTGTGTGTGTGTCTACAGCAGTTTCCTCCTCCTCCTCCTCCTCTTCCTCCTCCTCCTCCTCCTCCCTCCTCCCTCCTCCCGCCTCCCTCTTCCCTCCTCCCTCCCTCCTCCTCCTCCTCCTCCTCCTCCTCCTCCTCCTCCTCCTCCTCCTTTTCCTCCTCCTCCTCCTCCGCCTCATCCTCCTCCCCCTCCTCGCTCTCATCCTCCTCCTTGCCTTGGGGGTTTCTTGGGGTTTCTTCGAGCCTCGTGGTACCTTTTGGACGGCGCCTCTGGCCCTCCTGGTGGCCTCGTGGAAGCGCGAACAGCCGATAGGAAAAGAAAAGGGTAGAATCCCACCAGCCCTCTGGGCGGGGCGTTTCCCTTTTTCCAACCTCCTGCCTTTCCCTGCT